TTGATTTTTAACCATTTTTGGAATGACTCTGACCTGGATAGCTGGGAATCTTCACCACCAGCAGAATAAAACTGTGATTCATCAAATAAAGAAGGATGTTTGTTTGTTGCATGTGTGTCCAGGGGGAGCTCTGGTGAGGAGGTGATGCTGTCAGTGCGCCGCCTCAGGGAGGAGGACATAGAGGACCCCCAGGCTGCCCCGCCTCCGCCCGTCCCTGCAGGAGGCGATTTCAGCGACGAGGAGCTGGAGTTTCCCTCCAGTGACGTCTCCCAGCAGCAGAGACCCCGGGTGCACTGGGCCGACCTGCCGGGGGGCGCAGACGGAGACGGGAACCGGGCCGAATCGCCTCAGATCCAAAACCCAGAGGAAAACGGGGGCCTGAGAGGAGAGCAGGAAGGGAAGGAGATCCCCGCTGGGGAAAGCGCTGAGGCGCCACCTGGAGACCAAAGCGTGGATGAGCTCACTTCAAAGCTGAGTGAGTGCGTTACCAGCGGTAACCAGCGCGGAGAAACGCGGGCTGAAACCGTTTCAGCTGCTTCGTGTACAGGACCTGAACCTTCAGCAGGAAGCAGACGGGCTCCCTGTAACACTGCAGACCCGTCCAACCCGCCTGGGCTCAGCATCACCCAGGTAGGCATGAGTCGGAGAGGAGCCGCCGGGCTGCAGGACCTTCTGAGGAAGCACGGCGGGGCGCTCGACCCCGAGTCGGTGCGGCGGAGTCTCCTGGAGTCCCTGAAGAGGACCTTAAAGGACTGGTGCACAGAAGAGACCCTGAGCTTCCTGTATGGAGCCGACCGGCCGCCGGCCGTCCCGTTCACCGCCCTGAGAGCCACCGAGGAAGAGGAGCTGGATGAAGACGACCTGGAGGATGATGATGATGATGAGGCGGCGGAGCCGAGGAGGCCACCTGGTAGCCACGACTACGAGAAGCTGCGGGAGGAGGCGGAGCAGCTGCAGCTCAGGGTGCGCGAGTTTTATAAAGGGAGGTGGGTTCTACCTGAGGAGGAGCAGCTGGAGGCGAGGAAGGTGAGAGAACCTGCAGCTGAAACGCTTTTATTGGCAGGGTCGACCTTAAGGCTAGTGACTTTCACATTTCATTTGCCCAGAAACTATTTTTATTTGCCCAGTATAATGTTTGATAAATATAGTTCCTAATATTCATTTTTGTTTATATATATCAATGTTTTTTAAATGTTTTTTGTATTTCAGTATTTTTTAAGTTTCCAGGTTCCTGGTGTGTATATTAGTGTTAATTTTAGCAGCCATTTTTAAATCTAGTTTCAGTTTTAGTCCAGTTTCAGCATCGCTTGTTAGTTTTTATCACATTTAGTCGACATC